GCCGGGCCACTGTGTCGAGAGCCAGTAGAGCCGTAGTGTGCAGGTTGGCATTCGGTTGAAGGATGCTAATGGTGAAGGTAGGGCACATGCTCATGTCATGGTATCTCACCTGTGCACATCAGATGTCTCATCATTATCATGCTTGGATACTCATACATGGACACTGAGTTCGGCCATTGTACAGGCCTGTCGAGGTAAAGCTCTTATTGGCAATTGTGCCTATTGTCTATCTCCGGACCCTTCAGGTGCAATGCTTCTCCGGGATTGATCCGGCTGAGCGAGCCTATGCTCGAGGTCGAGCTTCAGTGCGAACATGTGAAAGCTGTCACATCATTACTCGAGCATAGAAGGGCGGATATAGTATTCGACAACTGCAACTGACACTGTATCTTACCCCTTTCTTGCAGACGTATTCGGACCTGGCAGAGGGTTCTTACACTGAGCAGCAAATCATCGCTTACATGCCTGCAGCAGAGGCTTTCGGGTTTTCGTCCATCAGTATGTGAAATGGCATTGACTGTTGATGGAATACTCGGGGAACAGGTCATAAGTCATTCGCTGATGAGCTGCGAGGAGCCGCTAAAGGAAAGGTTCTCTGGAGGCTATCTTTCAGTCATTGGAGGGTTCTTCGAGGAGGGAAGGTGAGCCTGTCGTCAATGCATCCACGCTGTGGAAATTCCTCGGGTGGAATGAGTTTACGCTGTCGCTTTAGATTGACGACTATGATCAGTGCCCTCTGTATGAGTTGTGCATGACGCGTGAACGCCTTGAGGATTACGGCTCGAATGTGGACTCGACTGCTGCCCTAGACATTGGTAGGAATGCTAGAGCTGTGATATTACTGAATCCCCTGTATTTTCAGGGAATACTGCTCGACGTTTGGTGATGCAAATACGGAGAAGCAAAGGACTGCCTTGTGGTGAAAAGCTTGTGGTTGATGCTGAGAAACAACGTAACCTTACCAAAATGAAGTGAATGTTTCGACACAGTGGGGTTGCGTTGCAATCATTTGACGAAGGATCTGAGGAGAGATCTATACGGTGCGTGCGTTTTCCTAGGGAAAATTTCCCTACGCAAATGTTTGAAAAATTCTCGGTGAGTTCGGCGAGTATTCAGGTGATTTTCCCACTATGATGAATGCCAGAAAGCGAACCTCTTGTTCACCCTATCTAACATCAATATAATAAATATACACTGAGAGAACACGCTACAGAAGATTCACAGCAGGTTCTGTTAGCGCCCGTACGGATGGAAGTTTTGGATACCCTATGCAGCTTTTTGAGAAGAGTTGCTTCACTCCTCTGGAAGAGTTGTGTAATGTATCAGTGATAAAGTATCGCTTTTTTTCAAAATGTTCCAGTATTGTTCCACCGATTTCAGATCCGGTGAGTTGAGTGACCACGTCATCAGCTTCTCGCCTCTGAAACCTTTCTTGTCCAGATAATCACTCTGGCATTCGGGCTCGTTTTCGGAAGGAAGCAGTGATCCCAGAGCTTTGTATTCCCGACTCGATAATGTCGAGACTGAGAAAACGAATGAATCATTCTTGAGAATTCGTTTTGCCGCCTTGCTCCACCCAAACTGGACTTACCACTTCATCCCTAATTTGATGAATGGAATAGGAAAAACCCCGTGAGTGAATCGTCGGCTTTGGAACACTATGAACGCATCCGCTGAAGTCGGATAGAATGCAGTCGTCAACTTCTCAATGAGATCGGATTTATCAGACAATGGCAACTGATCATATACTGATTTCGCCGCATACTCCAGGAACGAAGACGAATACAGAGTTTGCTGTTCCGGTGACAAATGGTCGTGATTCTACTCTAGAAAGATTCAACGAGATCGGTCTTGGATGAGTTCGATACTAGGAATACGGACATTTTTTTGTGATCGGAGTACTCCGATTATTTGCGATCACATTGTCACAGATCTCACTGTGATGATCACAGTGAGATCTGATGTGTATTACCTAGTGGGCAAGGGCATTCAAGATGCATTTCAGTATTCAGTTGCGTCCTGTGATGGTCACTGTTCAGTACAGCTTCAGAAATGCTCAGTTGGTGAACCGAACGATCACAGCAAACTAGCTGGACTGAGCTCCGGGAATCCCAACTCCGAAACAAACCTTCGAAAAAGTTCGGTGCCGGTTCCCAATGACCATCCTCGAATCCAAGCCGCCAGACAATACTTCTGATATCAACGCACCACAACTCTCCGTAGTCGTATTATCGTTCGCAATGTCACGGAATATGGCCCACGTTTCCTGACACGTGTTAGTGCCCCCAACCAACTTATATATGAAGAAAAGAGAGAGATAACGAGACTGGTTCGTGTAGGAAATCATCTCGCTCTCACTGCATACGAACTTCCGTTAGACAAGCGGGTTTTAGAACTTGAGTTGAACAACCCTATATCTTTCTCATTTCATACACTTGCTTGAACTTGCTCTCTAATCCCAAGATGGTGCAACGGTCGCGTAAGTCATGTAGCAATAAGCTTGGAGAGTAGGAGGCACATCTGTAAGCAGGCTGTTTAAAACAGCAGATGTTCAACCGTTGCGAAGTTGCGTTATATATGTGCGGACTGATAAAACCAATGGCGTATGTCGATGCTCCGATGAATTGGTGTCCGGAAGTCCTCTCCTTTTTGGTTGGGCCGATAGCAACAGCGATGATGACGACAACGACAACAAAGACAATGACGGAAATGAGTATAACAACGCTTGGACATTTACAGACCCCTACGTGGTCTCAGTTCGGCCCTTCCCTACCCCCGAGAGGACAAGGCCTACCATGACAATACCACCAAACCAAACAGGATTGAGTGCTGATCGAAAGATGAGCTTTTTGCCATACATGAAGTCATGGTATGATCGGTCAACATGACAGTGTGGGGGGGGGACTGTAACTCAAAAAATAGTAGTAAGAAACACGACTCAAAACTGATAGGCGAGAACCAGCACCCAATTGCATTTCCACGCTACTGCTGTTGCTGATGCAAGAGCAATTGACGAATTAGTTTGGGCAGTCCGTCAACACCCTTGAATGTCGGGAAGTAGTTCACATCTACCACGTAATATCTGACGCAAAGGAGTGTACAATATCGTAACAACCTAGGGAATCTTCATGCTTACTTTTGGTCACGACTGCCCACTATAAGATCGAGACCAAACAATCCCAGGCCGAGTTTTCCATCGACCTTCAACGCAATATCTTTAACCTTGTTAATGTCTACGCCACTGGGATCCACTGAAGGTTTCTGAAAACTAGCAAATCGAAGGTCGCGAGTTCGAATCCCACAATGATCACCTGCTGGACTACAATCCCTTTCATGTTCTGCGAATCAAAAGACTTCCCGACAGCATCATCACCCAGACTAGGGCGAATATCCAATCGAACTTCCCCACCAATAACAAATACCTTATAAATTATACCACCGTGGGGTATCTGGAATCGAACTTAATCTCAGAGGCCTTGATGGAAGATACACATACGAAGTCCTGAGCGCAGACAGCATCTTCACGATGCTCTCGTCTGAACTCTTCGAGCTCCTTAGCACTAGAAACGACCGCCATATGATGACTTGCAACAGTACCACAAGCAACACGAGTTTTCAAAATTTGGGGGTAACTGGAAAACCACGGCCGAGGATAGAGCGTGGGACCCAGCTCGAATCCTTACTTCAACCGGGGCATCTCATTCGCACTTGGCTCGATGAGATACATCCTCGGTACGTTCACTCCCGCCGCTATAAAAGCTTGCTGCAGATCCCAACGATCCGTACCTGAACAAACACATATCGTCGATTCAAAAGGACCATTAGCAGACAGATGCATCAAGAAGATTCATACTAATATCTCCATTATCATTCCGCTGAGCGAATTTTCATTACATGCCAACTGGCTATCCACCGAGCAAGGCGTCGGGTTGGTCAGTTCTCGAGCTGCCTCGATCACTTCGGGATTCGACTCTGCCCAGTCGGTGATCTTGTGGAGTATCTAAGGCACGGGAGTCAACATGCGAGGCCACAAGGTAGGAATAATCACTACCGTGGTAGTCTCGAAACCAGCGACTTGTGTGGGAATGTCACAAGTCGGATCAATACAGACGAACTCGCATTGATCGGTGGAATCGTATACTCCCATGGGGCACATCCGGTCCAACTTCTTCTTGCTCAAGAGCAAGAGTACCTTATCTGATGGAATTCCCATAAAATCTATAATTCGAGCGGGGGAGGGAATACGCACATAGTCAACTAGCATGTGTCGATGACAATACGGAAATTCTGAGGAAATTTTGACGCAACGCTTATTGGTTTCTGTGAACCCGAAGTCGTATGTAAACTCTTTGCTTCAGTTGAGGAAAACGAGCATATAATCCTCCAACACTGGGCACCAGCAGAAAGAAAACGACGGCTCACAATGTGAATAATATCTCATCTGTTACGATGGATACTACCTTTAGGCTCGGTTCCTGTAGTAATAATATTTAACAACCCTAGTAGCTGCTGTGGGTGACCTGCTCGATGAGGGGGTATCTTCCCTGCCTCCAACGGCGAACCGCCGTTATGCTGCTGCAACCAAATACAACGAGAAAGATAGGGGCAATGCACGGTTGATGATGATGTTATGAAGTCGTAGCTTCCGACATAGATAGTACCATCTGAGAAAGAGGTCATAGATGTACTAAATATCACAGCTCTTTATACTGCTGAGTACACAGTCGCTGATACTACCACTATCTGGCAACGGTATTTACTAGCATTTTACGTAAAACATAATGAAGGGAATAACTCAAGTGAACTATCGGTGGAATTAAGCATTCAATTGTAAGAGCCTGTGTGAATACAACCCAAATGTTGACATTGTGATAGCCGAGAATTATATATTAGATCTGTATTTGTTTCGAAAGTATCTATATCACTGCCACAGTATGCGCGTCACATACGTGGTAGACATATGATGCGGCAGCGCCCAGTGCTGCAAAAAAATGTTCGCTTGCCTCAGCCGAGCTCCAAATTTTCCTCACTAATCATATGATTTTATATACGAATTGGGAGAATATATACGATCAGTGTACAGAAAGTAACAAGGATTTTCCAAATTTTCCTCAGAGTTTCATATTGTCACCAACACATGTGGACCATGCGCACATTTTACCACACTGGCAGCGCCTACGACGAATGAGTAACCATAACGATCCATGATACTATGCAGACTAAGTTGAAGGATGTATGGTACCGCGAATGGATCACCTTGTGGTTTCTCAACAAAGCTGTAACCAGCCTCAACGATCGTCGTTGTGTATGTCTGTGGTAGAGATATGGATGGATCCAAGAAGACGGAGGGCATCAGGACAAGGCTTACAACTGCAGCAGCAGCGCCCCTTACGACCAGGAAGGATCTGTGCCAGAAGTAACAAAACAATGATATGGAGGAAAGAGGGGTCATGACCAACGTCGAAGAGGTAACGTAGAGGATTGTTGAAGCTTGTGGAGTGTTGAGTGGTGCAAAAACTGGTGGACCGTGACGCCGCGCTCGCCCGCGAAGCTGTGATCCTGCTGTGTATGACGTGTGATGTTCTTGCTGCTGGTCCTAACTGTTAGTGTGAGGCTTATTGACACCTTGCTTCATGTGTAGTCTACCATTTCTGACACATGGAATTCTGCTTTGCCCGCTTAGCTCGAGGTCCTAAGGTCGTTAACGTCACTGAATGCCCATTCTCAACTCCTTTCTTCCCGCCGACGCTAGCCCAGCGTTCTAGTAACCTTCTAATGTTCACTCGCATGTTCAGTTTCGAGAGCGATTTGCTGACTTCTACGAATTTTTCTGGTCACATATCGCAGAAAATTATTCGTAAAGGAAGAGCATTTGTCCGAATGGGCGTTTTGGGAATAGTCTTTCAAGAGCGGATCTATGTCTCTCACTCTTGAATTTTCCATGTGCGACAATCTCAGGATTATTTTTGGAAAGCGCTCTGCATGAACTCTGGGTATTCGATGCAAGTTTTCCTACTTTTTCGTACGTTTCGAGCCGTGCTCAATAAATCGATATATAGTGTAGCTGAGGAAGTAGATTATTGGGAATAAACTGGGTACTACGCGGAGGGATGTAATAACATAGAATCACTCGTGGACATTGGTGTGAACGATGCCAACGTTAGTAGAGGTTTACAGTACGTGTCAATTTTATATGCAAATGCGTGCTACTTTGGAGGGCGAATGATAGTGAACAAGTTGTCGCTATCACAGTCCCAAACGGGTACTTTCATCACAACACATGTTCATAGTCATTGTTACATTGTATATGCGATATAGTTTCACATTGATTCTTATCAGCCTCAAAAAATAACACATATTTGCACATCAAATTGGCACGCACTGTATACATCCCACCTGAGTGACTTGAACTCCCTGTGTCACTCTGGGAGCATTCGCGATATTATAAGGGCTCCAGGGGTAGCCCTCCCGTTGTGGTAGGTTCGAATCATTGCAGTGGAGAATATAATCATGGCCACTGGGAGCTGCCACATGAGGCGTATTCAGTGGGTGATGAGAATCCTGCGTGAAAATTCGAGGATAATGGCAATCACAGTCAACGCGGTTTCGGATGGGATCGTAGCCTCCTGTGAGTTCCATGATGCTGTTGTTGTGTTCATTTTCGCGTATATCGGGCCACAGTCGTGAGCAGAGTGTCCCTATGCAATTATCCGGTAGTACCGTCAATCGTCAACTGCAGCAGCAGCAGCATTCAGGAGGAAGCCGATCTTCCTCGCACTCTTCCGCGGCTGGGTAATATATTCAGTCGGCATCCTCATGCTTGACAATTATTTCATCAGTTTCACCTTGAGCCCTCATGCAGCAGCATTCGTCCCATCTTCATGGCAAGGTGCCGGTTCATCATCATCCTTGTCAAGTGGGGGCCCCTCGACGGTGTCCAATGTCCAGACTGCTAGCCATTACAGTAGGCCGGATTGGAGGAGTTATAGACAATCAGCAAGTAACACAACGTACTTGCTCTCCACGGCCAACTTGTTGTTCATGCTCAGGTCTCAATGGGGCTAGCGATCACCAGTCTTTGCCCAACGTTGCTGTCTGTTCAAATTCCTCACTCAAGAGTAGGGAGGCTAATTATTCTTATGGGAGGAAAAGAGGATTTTTAGGTGGTGGCAATTGCAATGCTAGAGTTCATAAGGATGCAAACCCTCAAGCGAGGTGCTCCTGCAAATTGTTGGTGACGCATAAACAGGCTGGAGCTATCATAGGGAAAAGTGGTTCAGAAATTTCCCATATGGAACAGGTCATGAAACAGCGTTGATTGGAGCCTCATACCAACGCTGCTTCGTATGCAGGCAGCTAAGGTCTCCATCAAAGTGTCTCCTAGCGGCAGTTTCTTCCCGGGCACACAGGAAAGGGTATTAGTGATCTTTGGAGAGAGCATGAATATTAGAGAGGTAGAAATGATGGGTGTGGGATTAGAACCGGAGGTCTCTCGTAGGCGCTACAGGATATAGTAGCTAAATTCGAGTACTGCAATGAGATACTACAAGTGCAGGAGGAGACCAAATCGCCTTATTTCC